GAGAGAGAGAGAGAGAGAGAGAGAGAGAGAGAGAGAGAGAGAGAGAGAGACTTATTGTAGCTTATACTGATGGTAGACTCCTAGTCCCAGACTGATAGGGCTAATTGTGGTGGCTCACACCTGTAGTCCCAATACTAGGCAAGAAAGCAGAGACAGGATCACTTCAAGTTGGAGGCTAGCTGGTCTGCATAACCAGTTCCGTGTTAGCCAGGGCTACACATCCAGACTCTGCCTCAAAAAAAAAAAAAAAAAAAAAAGCCCAAATAAATAAATAAATACCCCCCACAAAGTAAGTAAAATAATAGAGTAAGTGAATGAATATAAAAAAACACAACCACAGCTTTAAAAGCCTTAATTTAAAGACAGTTTTTATGATCAGCCATTGTGCTTTCTTTTAAGATAAGGATAGGTGATGCAATGGTTGTCTGTTTGCTTGTTTGGGGGCACTGACCTCTGCATGTTGGGTAAGCTCTCTACCTGCAGCCCCAGCCCATAAATTTCTACAGGGACCTGTTAATTTCCTTTTTGTGGCTGGATTCTGGGTGTCCTGTTATTTGTTTGTCTTATTTTTTTATTTTCGTTTGTTTCGTTAACATTAACTGGCATTATTTGAGAAGAGGGAACCACAATTTAGAAAATTCCTCCATAAAATTGGCCTGTAGGCAAGCCTGAGGGCCATTTTAATGAATGTTGTTGGAGGAGCTAATGCACTGTGGTGCCACCCTGGGCTGGTAGTCCTGGGTATTATAGGAAAGCAGGTTGAACAAGCCAGTAAGCAGCACTCCTCTTTGGCCTCTGCATCAGCTCCTGCCTCTATATTCCTGCCCTGGCTTCCCTCTCTGATGGACTGTTAACCTGGAAGTGTAAGATAAAACAAATGCTTTTATCTCCAAGTTGGTTTTGGTCATTTGTTTGTTGTTGTTTTCTTTGTCTTAAAAATTTATTTAGTTTATATGTATGAGTGTTTTTCCTGCTTGTATGTATGTGTACGTACCATGTGTGTGCCTAGTGTCCACAGAGGTCAGAAGAAGGTGTTGGATTACTTGGAACTATATTTATGGATGATTCTGAGCCACCACTTGTGTGCTGGGAACTAAACCCGGGTCTTAGCAAGTGTTCTTAACCACTGAGTCATCTTTCTAGCCTCTGGTAATGTTGTTTTACAGCAACAGAATCCCTAACAGAGATACTAGGTATAATCTATTAATGTTGCTAAACCTGTTTGTTTCCTAGAAGTAGTTTGAAGTCCTAACCCCTTTTCTAAGTGTTCCTTGGTGATGTTATCATATAGAATAATTCATCCTATCACAAAATGAGTTGAGGGCTGGGGCTGTAACTGGAGGTAGAACACTTGCCTTCCCATTTGTGTCATGGCAAAAAAATAAAATTAAAAGGGAGAGAACGAGAAAGTGGGTAGAATAGAATTTTACTTAGAAGTTACAGTGTCAATTTTATTATGTTTCCTTTTCTCTTTTGGGTTTTTGCTGTTGTTGTTTTGTTTTTTAAGACAGGGTTTCTGTGTGTGTGTGTGTGTGTGTGTGTGTGTGTGTGTGTGTGTGTGTGTGTGTGTGTGTGTCTCCATCTGTCCTGGAACTCAACTTTGTAGACTAGGCTATCCTTGAACTCAAAGATCCGCCTGCTTGACTCCTGATTGCTGGGACTAAAGGTGTGTGCCACCAACACCCAGCATGTTGTATTTTCTTTTTCCTTTTTTTTTTTTTTTTTTTTTTTTTAAGTTTCTCAAGACAGGGTTTCTCTATGTAGTTTTGGAGCCTATCCTGATCTCGCTCTGCAGACCAGGCTGGCCTCGAACTCACAGAAATCTGCCTGCCTCTGCCTCCCTAGTGCTAGGATTAAAGGCATGCGCTGCCACCACCCGTCTTATATTTTCTTAATAAAAGGATTGGTCTGCCAGCTTAGTATAAATTAGTATTTTCCATTTTTTTCTTTGTTTTTTTAAACTGTTTTTCTGTGTAGCCCTGGATGTTAGATCTGCTTGCCTCTGCCTCCCAAATGCTGGGATTAAAGGCTTGAGCCCATTTTCAGATGTGGATAACGTTTGAATTTGCATATTATAGTCGATATCTTTCTAGGAATTTGAGTACCAGAAACTTGAATTTTGTTGTGAGTGATGACTATGCTAACTTGCCAAAATTGAAATACTTATTTTGCTAAATTTATTAAATGAAATGATTGTAAAAACAATTTTACATATTTTCTTTAGAGCTCAGTTCCCCAAAAATTATAAAAGCGGGAAAACTCAAGACAAAGAAATCCAACAAGGTATGCCTTTACAGGATGTACTTAAAAAAAAAAAAAAGATTTATTTATTTATTATGTATACAGCATATGTGACTGCAGGCCAGAAGAGGGCACCAGATCTCATGTGGTTCCTGGGAACTGAACTCAGGACCTCTGGAAGAGGAGTCATTGCATTTACCCTCTGTGACATCTCTCCAGTCCCCAGGATGTACTTTTTAAATGTATTAATTTTGAAAATTCTTTTTGAAGTCTGATCCTAGACCATTGAATTTTTACTTCAAAATGTTTGAGAAATATTTGAATTAACTTGCCAAGTCTATATAAGTACACAGAGGTGATTTTAAAAATTTCTATTACTTTATTTGATTTTGCTGTTGCTTTTTCCCCCTTTGGTTGGGACAGGGTCTCACTCTGTAGACCAGGCTGGCCTGAACTCACATATCCACTTGCATCTGCCTCCAGAGTGCTGGCATCAAAGGCATGTGCCACTATATTTAGCTTGTTGCTTTTGCTGAGGGGATGGGTGGTCTCATTGTAGCCCAGGTTAGCCTTTTGTGCCCATGGTTGATCTTGAATTCCTACTTCTCCTACTTCTAAGTGCTCAAGATTGCTGGTATGCACCACCATGCCTGGCAACAAAAATTACATTTAGAAATATGTTTTTTCTGTCTAAAAATTCTAAAAATCATTTACAGTTGTAACAATTATTTTATTACATTTTAGGCTAGTGACTTCAGTGATATGGCAAACTGGCCAACACCAGGTGAATTAGTGAACACGGGGGTAAGTATGTATTTAAGTCTTTTGAAAAGAAAATTCTTTTTTTTTTTTTTTTTTTTTCTCTCGAGACAGGGTTTCTCTGTAGCTTTGGGTTGGTTTTGTGTGTGCATGATTTTTTTTTTTTTGTTTTGTTTTTTGTTTTTCGAGACAGGGTTTCTCTGTGTAGCTTTGCGCCTTTCCTAGAACTCACTTGGTAGCCCAGGCTGGCCTCGAACTCACAGAGATCAGCCTGCCTCTGCCTCCCGAATGCTGGCATTAAAGGCATGCACCACCACCACCCAGCGTGCATGGGTTTTTGTTTGTTTGTTTGTTTGTTTTTATCAATACAGGGTTTCTCTGTAGTTCTGGCTGTCCTGGAACTGGGACTTGCTGTTGCTTTAACCACGATGGCCTTCAATTCATAGAGATCGGCCTGCCTGTTGCTTCCCTAATGCTGGGATTAAAGGTGTGCGCCACCACTACCCAGTTTTTATCAGAATGTGCAAGTAAACTCATCACTGCAAACAGAAAAATGAGCTTGGCTCCTGCCTGCAAGTGTTGGAGTCATCCCCACCAGCAGCAAATGTTTGTATTTTTGTGTAGGTGGAATATGCAGTGTAGGAGGCGCTGTTGTTTCTTGCTTACTCAGCACCATTACCTTGAAGTTTTTTTTTGTTTGTTTGTTTTGTTTTGTTTTTCCCATGTTGTGTGTGTCAGTTTTCTGTGTAGTTTTGGTGCCTGTCCTAGATCTCGCTTTGTAGACCAGGCTGGCCTCGAACTCACAGAGATCCGCCTGCCTCTGCCTCCCGAGTGCTGGGATCAAAGGCATGCATCACCATCGCCCAGCCCAGTTTTTTTTTTTTTTTTTTTAGTCAAATGTTAATAGAAATGATTCTATTCAGAACATTTTCTTTTTTTTTTTTTCTTCCCCAGTCTCAGAATGTTATCAGCCAAGGAAATAAGAAGCCACAATTCAGAAAAGAAAAAGAAGAGAAGATTGAAAAAAGAAGCAACAGTGAGAGCAAAGAGAACCGGGAAGCAAAACTAGATGGTCCTGTTGAGAATGTCAGCGAGGATGAGGCTCAGTCAAGCAGCCAGCGGAAGAGAGGTCAGCTGGCCTGTGTCTTCATTTTAACTTGAAGTTTTGGAAGACTGTGTGGTGATGAATTATTAGTTAGCTGCTCTCTGTCATCACATGCATATGCTGGGTTTTAAACCACCTGCAGCAGGTTTGGCCTGTTTGGCCTTCTATCCTGACCCCCTTTTATTTATTTTGCATATATATATTGGTTTGTCGAGAAGGGGCGTCTCTGTGTAGCAACCCTGCTTAAACTATATTTTGTACAAAAAAAATGGAGTGAAATTCCTTATAGGTATTGTAGATTTTCTTGGAAAGTTGTGTAATACTGTTGTTAATTTTAAATTTACATTGAAAATGCTTTTTGCTTTTTAGAGAATTCTGAGAAAATGGAAAAACTGTTTCTTTAATGTGCATTGGTGTTTTGCCTGCATGTATGTCTGTGTGAGGGAGTTGAGTCCCCAGGAACTGAAGTTACAGACAGTTGTGAGCTGCCATGTGGGTGCTGAGAATTGAGCCTGGGTCCTTTAGAAGAGCAGATAGTGCTCTTAACTGCTGAGCCATCTCTCCAGCCCCTGGTTTTCTTATTTATTTATTTAGTTTTTTGTTTTTTGAGACAGGATTTCTCTGTATAACAACCCTGGCTGTCCTGGAACTCACTCTGTAGACCAGGCTGTCCTGGAACTCACAGATTTGCCTGCCTCTGCCTCGAGTGCTGGGATTAAAGGCGTGCACCACCACGCCCAACCAGCCCCTGGTTTTCTAAGAGTAAAAGTAAGAACAATTTTAATCAGTATTTTAAAGATTTTTGTTTTGTTTTTTGTTTTGAGACAGAGTCTCAATATGTAGTACTGGGTATCCTGGAACTCACCTGCTTTTGTCTTCACAGTTCACACCTGACAGTTTTTTAAAGATTGATTTTTAATTATGTGCAAGTATGCGTGTAGATGAATTTCTAATTGGTCTTATTAAATAAAAAACACAGAGCCAAATATAGGGGTGAAAGCCTTAGATCAGGGAAACAGGGAAAGCCACCAGCCAGCCTTACCTCACCAACTCTGCAGCTTCCAAGTTACTTCCTGTCTACCCACGCACATATACCTGGCTGTTCTGCCATCTGATTTGCTCTCTGTCCAGCTACATCACTTCCTTTTCCTACACAGCTCTGTCTTTCTGTCTATACAGACCTCAGACCTCCATGGTTAACTAGTGTTGGAATTAAGGCATGTGCCACCACACCTGGCTCTGTTTCCAGTGTGGCCTTGAATACACAGAGATCCTGCCTGCTAAGTTAAGGGCATGTGCTACCATTGCTGACTTCTTTGTTTACTTATAATGACTGGCCTTTTTCCTCTGATCTCCAGGCAAGCTTTATTTATTAAAGCACAAATAAAATATCACTGTGTGTGTGTGTGTGTGTGTAGATGTGTGTTGGTGTGTGTGTAGGCACAGATACCCATGTAATCCAGAAGAGGATGTTTTGATTCCTGAAGTTATAGGCAGTTCTGAGTCCCCCAACATGGGTGCTAGGATTCGAATTAGGTCCTCCAGAAAGGCAGCTCATGCGTTTAACCTGAACAGTTACCTCTCCAGCTCCAATCTTAGTCAAGGTTTTCCCTGAAAAATTAAGCTATGAAGGAAAAACTTACTGCCCTAAATTCTTTTCCTTTTTTCCCCCTGGACTCCTAATGTGTTTAGGGACAGGGTTGGTGGAAGCCTATACTCATTCAGGGTTCTGAGCCTAGGATGAGCAGCAGGAGATATAGGCAAGGTTCATGTAGCTTAAAATTAAGGTTTTGAGTGCGTTGGGAAGGCACTTGTAAGCAGACTTTCTCTGTCCCACCAGCCATCTTCCAAATAACCACATGGAGACTTATTAATTATAACTGCTCGGTTGATAGTTTCGGCTTGTTACTAACTAGCTCCTACATCTTAAATTAACCCATATTTCTTATCTGTGCTCTACCACATGGTGGTACCTTTTTTTCAGGATGGCACGTTCATCTCCTGTTTCCTCTGTGTCTGTCTGGCAACTCCCATGACTCAGCCCGTCTTCTTCCCAGCATCCTCTCAGTTTAGCTCTCTTGCCTAACCTCTTCCTGCCTATTGGCTAGTCAGCTCTTTATCAAACCAGTGAGAGTAATACATATTCAGTGGACAAAAAGGATTGTTCTGTAGCAGGCACTGAAGCAGTTACTCTGCATAGGTGAAATTATACACCAAGATACATTCGATGGTGTAGCACTTGGCAGTTAACTTCTTTGTTGTCAATACCAAATTATCATGTACTAAGCGCTTACTTGAATCATTGTCTTTTATTTATTTTTATTTATTGTATTTTTGAGGTAGGATTTCTTTATGTAGCCCTGACTGTCCTGAAGCTCACTATATAGAGCAGTCTGGCCTTTCACAGAGATCCTCCTGCATCTGTCTCCCAAGTACTGGGATTAATGGTGTGTGCCAATATGCCTGGCTGAATCATTGTCTTTTATTAAGTAATTTTAGCTGTTGAGTTAAGGGCTAGACTCCTTTGCTCTAATGACCAAAACCTGACTGCTTTCAAGTATTAGAACAAAATAAGTAAGTATTGAAAAAATTTTCCCTATTCATTAACTGCTTTATCACTCAACATTTTTTCTGCCTCTTCGTCTTCATGGCTATCTAGAATTCATACTTCTGAAAGACTTGTCATTTTGCTTTAAAATTTGTCTTTGTTTTGGTTGCTTCAATTGAAATCAATTGGTCAATGCTTAATGTCTGGTATACACACACACATGTATATATATACACACATATATATGTACACACACATATATACACACATATATGTATATATACATGTATATATATACATATACATATATATGTAAATTAAGGTCATATTTAAGTCCATGAATTGTGCACCTAATGTGTATGTGTTTTTTCGATGAAGATGATAATATTGGCAAACTTATTCTATTTTATGCATGGGGGTGGGGGCATGCATATACCACAGCATGCATGTGGAGGGCAAAAGATAACTTGTAGGAGTTGGTTCTCTCCTTCCACAATGTGAGTCCCAGGGTCTCCAACTCTGGTCTTATGGCTTGAAGCACTCTTTGTAGCCCTGGCTGTCCTGGAACTCTCTCTGTAGACCAGGCTGGCCTTGAACTCAGAGATCCACCTGCCTCTGCCTTCTGAGTGCTGGGACTAAAGGCGTGCGCCATCACTGCCCAGCCAGAAGCACCTTTTTTGCATGCAAAGCCAGCACATCAAATCTAGCACATTTTGGGGTTTTTGTTTTTAACTTTATTCATTTATTTATTTTGTTTTTTTGAGACAGGGTCTCTGTAGCTGTAAGTTTCTCCAGTCGCCCAGCCCCTTCTCCAACTCCTTATAAGAGTTTAGCCCAAGATCATGGGCAGAGAAAATACTACTACAGGTTTCTCCACATAATCTTGACTGGCCTGGAGCTTACTGCCTCCTTAGTTCTGGGATCTAAGGCATGCACCACCATGCCTGGTTTGTTTTTTACTTTAAAGGAGGACTTGAGGAACTGGAAAGTTAGATCATGCCCAGAAGTGTTTGACATCCATACATGAGGATCCTAATTTGATCCCCAGAACCCATGTGAAAGTGGGGCACAATGGCAGGACTTGTGAGTTGGAGGCAGAGGTTCTGTAGGGCTTACTGGCCAGCCAGTCTAGCATAACTAGTGAGCTGAAGGTCAGTGGAAAACTTAGTCTCAAAGGAGATGGATGGCTTTTCTGAAGATGACTCCAAAGGTTGTCTGATCTCCGTGTACGACACACACCTATGACACATGTGCAAGCATAGGCAGGAGGAATGCAAGTTTGAGACAAGCCTGTGTTATTTAGTGAGTACTAAGTTGGCCAAGGCTATACATCAAGACCCTGTCTTGGAAAACCAAAAAGATAAAGTAGACAAGGATGGGATTGGGTTGTGAAGGTAGATAACATGGGGCAGGCTTCCTATGCTATTTAAGGTTTTGTTTGTTTGTTTGGTTTTTGGAGACAGGGTTTTTCTGTGTAGCTCTGGATGTCCTAGAACTCAATTCATAGACCAGGCTGGCCTCCAACTCAGAAATCTGCCTGCCTCTGCCTCTGCCTTTCCCTCTCTCTGCCTCTGCATGTACCACCACCATATATGAGTGTATGCATTCACAGCATGCATGGGGAGGTTGAAGGCAGCTTGCAGGAGTCAATTTTCTCCTATGTTATGGGTTTTAAGGCTCAAACTCAGGCTGTAATCAGACTTTCCTTTGGGCTGCCAGCTCACAACTAATGATAGAGACTTATTATAAATTATGAAAGCTCAGCCTTAGCCTAAGCTTGTCCCAATAGCTCTTACAACTTAAATTAGTCCATTTATTTTAATGTACATTCTACTGCTTAGTGCCCATCCTGCTTCCTCCCAGTCTCAGCATCTCTGCCCTTCTTCCCAGAGTTCTGTCTGTCACCAGAAGTCCCACCTAACCTTTCTGCCCAGCTATTGGCCAATTAGCTCTTTATTAAACCAATCAGAAGATGTCTTGGAAAAGACACATCTTCACAGTGTAAACAAATATTCTGCAACATCAGGCTTTTGGTAGATGTCTTCACCTGTTAAAAGTCATCTTGCCAGCCATAGTATTCTTTTTCCCATCAGTATTTCGGTCATCTTTCCTTTCTCCTACCTCTTTTTAATTTGGTTGAAAAATACACATTGGGCCAAATGCTAAGCATTTTGAGACATTAATGATGGAATCAGTATAAAAGATTTTCAGAAATTTACTATAGTATAAGTATAACTTTTTTTTTGTGACTAGATCTATCTAACTCTGGCTGTCATGGGACTCACTATATAGCCTGGCTGTACTTAAACTTACAAAGATCCCCCTACCTTTGCCTCCTAAGTGCTGGGAATAGGATGTGCACCACCATGCCTGGCAACCAAAACAATTTTTATATTGCTGGTCCCCAACAAAAGTATCTCTTTTCTTTTCCTTCTCCTCCTGTCTTCTCTTCTTCCTGCCTCTGCCTATCTTCTGTCTTTTTATTCAGACAGAGTCTTTCTATGGATCCAGTTTGGCTTTGATTTCTTAATTCTCTTGCCTCAACACACAATGTGCTGGAATTGCAGGCTTGAACCAGCCACCACACCTGATTAGCTCCTTTTCCTGATGCTATGATTTATTTTGGATCATAGTTAAAGGATACATTCCTTTATGATCGGGAAGCCATAGAGGCAGGATTTTGAGGCAGCTGGCTATATTTCACCCCTAGTTATGAAGCAGAAGGCCATGAAGCTTTTGCTCTGCTTTTTCTCCTCTTACTCCCATGCCCTACCCCATAAAATGGTGCTGGCCACTGTTAAGTGAGGCCTACCTTAATTAACAGAATCTAGAAAAATCCCTTCCCTTGGTGATTCAAAATCCCTTCAAGATGACAATTGAAATTAATGTCATTGCTGGGCAGTGGTGGTAAATGCCTTTAACCCAGCACTTGGGAGTTAGAGGCAGGTGGATCTCTGTGAGTTCAAGGCCAGCTTGATCTACAGAGCAAGTTCCAGGACAGCCAGGGTTACATAATGAGACCCTGTCCTGAGGAAAACGAATTAACATCACAACCACCTGTTTTTTTTCCTCTGGAATTTTTTTTTTTTTTTTTTTGGTGTGTATCTCAGCATAGACTGGAACTTGAAATCATCTTGCCTCAGCCTCTCAGATGCTAGAATTATAGGCATGAGCCATATAATAGTTGTAATATAATAACTGTAAAGAAAATTATGTCAGAGAGGAAGCATCTTATGTTTATTCCTCCCATGCTTTGAGAAACTACTTAGTTTTGTTTTTGGTTTTGTTTATGTTTCTGTGTGTTTATGTGTGGATATGGATGTTTATGGAGGCCATTTGCTCTCTGTCTTGTTTGAGATGGGTTCTCTTACTGACCAGCAAGCCCCAGGAATCCTCCTGTCTTGTCTCCCCTGCTCTGATGTGGGCTCTGGGGTGAATGAAGCTCAGGTCCTGGTGCTTGGCCAGCAAGTGTTTTACTAACAGACTCATCTTCCCAGCCCCTGGGGTTTTGTTTGTTTGATTGATTTGTTTTTAATTACTGGCTTTTTACTTGCTATTATTTCACTTGAAATATTTGCACAAACTTATCAAGGATCAGTCTGTAAGAATGAAAAGGGTTCTTTTGGCAGTCTACAGATAATCCACTTAAAGGCAGCTGAATCTTTAATTAAAATTCAGAGTGCTTTCAGAATTGCAGAGCTTTAATGAAAATTGTACATTGTCGTGTAATTACTTTGTGTGTTTTATTTCGTCAAGCTAATAAGCACAAATGGGTACCACTCCACTTAGAAGATGTGAGACCAGACAGCCAGGAAAGACCTGGGTCCCGGAACAGCTCTAGATGTCAACCTGAAGCGAATAAACCAGCTCACAGTAATAGGAAAAGTGATACACGAAGTAAGTGTCATTTCAAGAGTGCCATGAAATTCAAATGAACATAGATTTAGTGCTTATCATTGGAGCTGTATAGAGTAAACACATCTCTAACCCTACACACCTTCAGAAGACATGTCTAAAGAATGGTGTAATATGGCACTTAACAACAAAGCTGAATGTTCACAGTGTAACTGTCAATAACCTTATGTCCAGTTTTGGTTTTATTTTTATTTTATATCTTCCTTTATATTGAGACAGGCTCTCACTATTTAGCACTTATTATGTACCTGACCTCAGACTTATGATCTTCTTGCCTCAGCCTCCCACATGCTGTGATTACAGAAAGGTGCCATCACTCTGGACTTGTAGACTTTCTTATAGCCCTCTGTCTCCCCAGTCTGATCTGGCATTACACATTGCTTTAGTTGTCTTTCTCCTTAATCTCCATCATTGTCTTAATAGTTCTTTTTCTTTGTCTTTCCTGATGTTGATCTTTTTTTTTTTTTTTAAGATAATAGGATTATTATCCTGGAACTCTCTAAGTAGACCATGCTAACCTTGAACTCAGAGATTGGCTTGCCTCTGCCTCTGAGTGCTAGGATTAAAGGCATGTACCACTACTTCCGGCAATATAATAGGATTATTTTAAACAGATATTCTTTACTTTGGGTTTTGTAATGTTTCCTTATGATTAGATTTGAATTACAAACTTTTAGTAGGAATACTTAGAATGCTTTCTTTTTTGAGACAGGCTCTCATTATATGGACCAGAGATCCACCTGCCTCTGCTTCCCAAGTACTGGAATGAAAGTGTGCACCACAAACAACACTTATCATCTAAATACTTTTTGGTTTTTCAAAGCAGAGTTTCTTTGCAAAACTGCCCTTGGCTGTCTTGGAACTCACTTTGTAGACTTGGCTGGCCTCAAACTCACAGATCCACCTGGCTCTGCCTCCCAAGTGCTGGGATTAAAGGCATGCACCCCCACTTGCCCAGCCCTAAATACTTTTTAAAATGACATTCATGTTTAGATCACATTAAACTTTTTGGGAGTTTATTATGGTGTTATGTAAAATAAGACCCACTTTGGATTGAGGAAGGAAATATCTGGCTTATCTATCTTAGATAAGATCTTACTGGGTATTGTTGCCCAGACTGGTCTTGAACTCAAAATTCTCCTACCTCAACCTACCACTAGCTGGGGTTGTAGGTGTGTGCAACCATTTTTAGCAGGAATATTTTAGAGGCTGGAGAGATAGCTCAGTGGTTAAGAATGTTTACTGCTCTTGTAGAAGGTCAGTGTTAGGTCATAACACCCACAAGGCAGCGGTAGCAGCAGCACACAACCACCTGTAATCCAGTTCCAAGGGACCCAGGGAGCCTCTTCTAACATCTGTGGGCTGTTCACATGTGGTAGACATAAGTATACACACACACACACACACACACACACACACACACGCGCGCGCGCGCGCACACACACTACAAGGAATTTTAAATTGGCACTGAAGATGGAGTTATAGGGTCTAGAGCAGTTGGCTCTCAGTGGGGGAGATAATGTTGCATGTCCTTACTGAGGGATGAATAGATAGATGCTAGGAGTGTTGTCTAATGAGTGAAAGTGATCTAAATAGCACACAAGATAACTCCATTTCACCCTCTTCTCACCAGCATCAAAAGGATGAGTTTGAAAAACCTTGTCTCTATAATTTGTTTATTTTGATAATTATTGGATTATTCCAATTTAAAGTTGATGTTTTCACTCTCAATAACAGTATACAACGTCCTACCTCTTCTATTTTGGTCAGCATGTTAGGGCTCATAGTATTCCTCATTTGTAGAATACTAAGCCAGGACTCTGATGCTCTATATTACCAAAAAATAAATAAATAAAACAAAATGAAACAGTGGATACCGCAGGACTTTAGAATGCTTATCAGACTGGATAGGTGGCTCATTCCTCAGGGCCAGTCAGATGGAGCATCGTTTTTTATGTTCATTGGCTACTTATATATTCTTGTTTTGCCTGTTAGCTATTTTCTTGTTCGTGGTACGTATGTTATGTTTGCAAACAACAGACAGTGGACCAGGCAGTAGTGGTGCACACCTTTAATCCCAGCACTTGGGAGGCAGAGGCAGGCGGATCTCTTGAGTTTGAGGCCAGCCTGATCTACAGAGCAAGCCCCAAGACAGCCAGGGCTATGCAGAAACCCTGTCTCTAAAAACCAAAAAACGAGATAAAGAGAAGAGTGAGAGAGGTGGAGTGTGTGTTATAGATCCAATTCCCCTTGTTCTTCACGTATCTTATCTGGATTTTGTGTAGGTGTGTGTGTGCTTTCGGTTTCTCTTTTCTTTAAAACAAATGCCTTTTACTTGAATGGTGGTATCTCTTCCTTACATGTGTTATGGAAAGTGTATTTTTAAAAGAGTTTTACATGTAAATTCAGTAACCTTGGGACACTGTGAATGTGTATATCATAGCACATTCTTGGCAGAGGATCTCTTTGTCTTTCTAAGGTGTCATTTACTTGGTATAGAATGTTCTTTGTATGCCCAGTACACTCCTTATCCCTACCCACTTATTAACAGTCCCCTTGGATTTCTTACTATGTTTAAAGATAGGCTGACTACTATCAACTAGTATAAGAGTGAGAGAGGATGTGGTAGATCCTGCCTGATAATCTAGGTACCATGCAAGTCTTGGGCAGGAAGAGTGTGGAGTTCAAGGCCAGCCTGGATTGAATAGTAAGATACTATCTCAAAATCCACAAAGGGGAGCCAGACCTGGTGGTTAATGCCTTTAATCCCATCACTTGGGAGGCAAATCTCTGAATTCAGTGCTAGCCCCAGCTACATAGTGAAACCTTGCCTGAAAAAAAAAAATCCAAAAGAGATAGGTAGGGGATGACTATAATCAAAATACACTGTAAACACATGAAATAATCAAAGAATAAATAAAATTTTAAAATCCAAAGAGAAAAAATGGGGGAAGGTAATTACTATGTTTTCATAGAAATGATTGTGTTATTTTATTGCAAATTTGAATATGTAAAATTTTATTTTAAGGTTGGAGACGAGATAGAGAAAAGAGAGATGATCAAGATGAAGTATCCAGTGTGAGAAGTGAGGGTGGTACCATCCGAGGTTCCGCAAGAGGCCGAGGAAGAGGCCGGGGCCGGGGAAGAGGCCGAGGTCGAGGAAACCCTAGATGTATGACATGAGATTTCCCCCCCCCTTTTAAATTATATGAGCTTTGAAAAAAGTTAGCAAATATTCTCGTACACTTTATTATGTTAATTTTTTTATTTTTTTATTTGTGTGTGTGTGTTTAGGTGAGTGTGCCATGGTGTGCATGTGGAAATCAGAGGACAAATTACCGAGTTGGTTCTCTCTACCATGTGTGACCCAGGGATTGTACTCAGGTTATTAGACTTGGTGACATGGGCCTTTATCTGCCGAGTCATCTTACTGACCCTTTTGCACAATGTTTCTGTTAATTATTTTGGTTTGACAGTAAATTTGTTTTATTTATTTATTTATTTATTTATTTTTTAACGTCTTCATTTTGGATTTCTCTTTACAGTTATGGCTTCCTTATTTTTTAACTTGTAACCTTTCTTTTACTTTATTTGTGTCCAGTGAACTTTGATTATTCCTATGGTTATCGAGAGCCAGGGGAAAGAACTGATCAGCCCTTTCCCACAGAGCTTAACACCAGCATGATGTATTACTACGATGATGGCACAGGGGTGCAGGTCTATCCTGTGGATGAAACACTGCTGAAAGAGTACATTAAGCGCCAAATGTAAGTTGATGTCAGACAGGGATGTCAGTGAAGTCTGTTTCTGCAGCAAACTTACATGTCTTTGACTACTTTATCACAGTTCCAAAAATGCAATAATAACAATTAGAGAATGAGAATATTATTTTGATTTTTTTTCTAGGAGACAGTGATAAAATAAGTATCTACAAAATTTTCTCCACATTCCTGTCATTTTCCTAAGACTAGTTAAAATGTCATTGCATAATTAATGAGTAAATATCAAAAAAAGTCCATAAAAGTTCTACATATTATTTGAAATTAAGTAAAACGTGTCTCCTTTGCAAATAGATGTTTACATTAAAATTTGTAAATGAGCTGGGTGTGGTGGTACATGTCTGTAACTCCAGCACTGGGTAGCTAAAGCAGAATTGCTGTGAGTTCAAAGCTAGCTTGAGACACAGAACAAAACCCTGTCTCATATAAAGAATAACAATAATAAAAACACTTGTAAATGATAAAATGGTGCCCAGTGTCTTTTAATTTTGATTTCTGCATTGTCTGTTCTAATCTTTGAAGCTCTTTAGCTTATGTTCTTATTTCTTTGTGACGTCTATTAAATGAATGTTTTAGTTCAGACCTTAGTTCTCTGTAATAGTTTTCTAGCCCTCTGTTTGTTTCAAATATGCATTGTATTTTGATGATAGGTTTATAATGACAAAAAAAGAGAAACCTTCCCAAGTGATTTGTGTAACCAAACCAACTGGATAAAGCCTTAATTATTTTTCTTTCTTGCATGGTAAAGGAAAATGGACTACTTTTGAGGGGGCATAAGCATTTAAAAAACAGCCATTTTTATAAAAAAGAAACTGGACCCTCCTCTGTGACTAGAAGTTAATTTCTTCATTGGCATCAGCCAGGCCCTTTGGTAGCCTTGGTGGTAGATGGGATGGACTCTCAGTGCAGAGCAGCTTGCTTATTTTGTTCTTGCTTCCTTTGTTAGGGTTGAGGAAAGGGCCTTTTTATGGCCAGAAAGTGCCTGTCAACTTCATACCATTATCCTTTTTTTTTTGTAACTCTTACTGCTAGGTCCCTTCTAGACCTGACAGTGAACAAACATGCAACTCCATGTCAGGATATTCGGCTTCCACTGTGCTCATGCGGGTGAGGGAGGAGCAGAGCTGCTTCCTTGTTGACAGTTTCTGGTCATGCAGTGTAGAATGCAGAGCTGCTAAGGTAGGACATTATGTCCCCAAGGACACTGAGCAAAATGTCAGTCATTAGTCAGGACTCCTTTTTGTTGTTTCAGGGATTTCAGGCAGGGATTTTGGCAAGACCAGTGGAGTATCAGTTAGGGAAGCTGGTTGGCACTCTGCTCAGTGGAGCTGTGGCCTTGAGGAGTCCTGCTTTAGACTTTGTGTTTCTAGGCTACTACTTAGAGAAGGGATCTATCTGGGTTGGTTTGTTTTTAAGTTTTCATTGTGCTTTGGTACTAAATATGTTTTACTAGTACCACACTCTAACCAACTAAGCTAACTAGGTAGCTGAATAAATTTTAAAGTAATATGCTTCACTATTCCTTATGGGTAGTCTCAACCACTTTAAATGAAGTTTTTATATCAGTAATAATAATAATAATAATAAATAATTAATAATTTATCTCTCCTTTTGTGATAGGCATTCATTAAGCCCAGGCTTTCAAATTTCTAGTCCCTCCTGCCTCAACTTCCCAAGTACTAGCTAGTTACCACACTAGGTTAAATTTTAACACTGATTATTTTTTGGGGGAACAATCTCTTGTCATTCAAATCTACAGACTTCTATGTTTATAACCCAGCATAGACTATAGCAAATAGTGATTTGTGGATTTACTTATGTAGTTTGGTCTTCACAATGGATTACATTTAAAGGGAAGCTTATTACTGATTTAAGGAATTGCATCTAAGTACAATTTTAACTTGTGACTGTGTCAGTGTCCAGGATACTCTCCCAGGTTTTATAATCTCAGGCATTTCAAGATTCTGAGACTACTGTAATTAGGTACTGAGATGCAATAAATTTCAGAACATATAACTTGGATTTTTTTCATTATTTAAGAGTAAAAGATTTATTAGTGTTGTTGAGATGCCAGTAAAATAGCCTTTATCAGAACTTTGCACTTTGACTGAATTGCACACAAGACAAATTTAGATATCCTATGTTTTAAAAGTAAGATAGTTTTCTTCCTCCTCCAAGTGAAATGTTACCCCAAATCAGTTATTATTTAGAGGTGCTTAGTTCTTTCAAGTTAGAATTTGTCCTAAGTACCTAAAAGTTACTTACTAGTGGAGTTTTACACTTAAAAAAAAATGTGAAATGTGAAATTCTGTGTGCTCTCCTGACTTGTTGCCTCTTGAGGACTTCCTCTGGGATTGAAAAGCTGTAGGATTGCCAGCTACACTGTATCACCGTGGGTTTCTCTGTATCCTGTCTGGGATCCTGCTCTTTGTCTTTAGAATCTTACTTTCAGCTTATTATATGGACACTGTACTTTAAATGTATGATTTTCAAATGCTTTTATGAAATATTTTTTCTTCAGGGTCTCTTTATGGCTTGTCTCTATACCTTGAAGTTTATAGTCTTTGGTCATATAGCCAGTGCCAGTTTACTTTCTGTCTGGGTAAAGGTTAAGTGAGTTTGCACTTTTCTTAACCCTGAGTTATCTAAGCATTGTCTGTATTTTTTTACTCCATCGACTTTATGGAGTCATTGATATTTCTTTCTTAGCTATATTATATTCATCCTTTCCTTTGTTTTTAAAGTGCTGAGGATCAAATCCTGGGCTTTTAGGAGCTGTGCATGATTGTGGATATATAAATATAACTGTTGTCATGATTTTACTTGGCTGTGTGCTCATTGCTAAGGGTCTAAATGTCAGCATGTTGTCAATTTAGGTTAAAAAACAAATAAACAAAACCCCACCAGAGTTCCTTAGGTTTGAGTATGAGCCAACAGAAGACACTCGGGTGCACTGTTCTCCCCAGTGCATTGGAAAGTGAGTGGAAATAACTTGGAAGGCAGTAAAACTGATATTAGCTTTGTTATATAGTGTTTAAATGAAGTAGGTAGAGGTGGCTTTGTAATGGAATCTTTCAGTGATGACTCATTGAAAAATCCAGCTTACCCAGCATGTATAGGGCTGGATTCTGAACAACAACATAAACAAATGGATTTTAAAATTAGCTTTTAATTTTTTAGACTTAAGTGAAGTTAATCTAGATAGTGTTAAATTTTAATTAGTATTCTGTTTCTGCTTGTGTGTAAGAGAAATTGTCAATTAATCAGGGTTTTGCTTGGTCTCATATTTGTCCTGTGCTATGTAATATATATATATCTCCTATTCTATAAGGTAGTATTATTATATTATATATATAATATATATATATATCCTATTCTATAAGATAGTATTATCAACCAGAGGAGAATATTTTGGTAGCAGTTGTTGTAAGCAGTGGGTATATAACTATGTTGTTGAATGAGTGTATGAACTCATGTCTTTTCCTTTCTTAGTGAGTATTACTTCAGTACAGAGAACTTGGAGCGGGACTTCTTTCTTCGCAGAAAGATGGATGAGCAGGGATTCCTGCCCATTTCCCTGATTGCTGGTTTTCACCGTGTGCAAGCTCTCACCACAAACCTTAATCTCATCTTGGAGGTAAATATTTATTTAAAAAAGAATCTAAGTTATATTCAGTTTTTCTGGGAACCTAAAAGTGCCCTGAAAAATAGTGCTGAAAAAGAAAAGTGGACTGTTCAGTGGTAGATTATTTGGCCTATGTACATGAGGTCCTGGGTTCATCTCCAGAAGTAGTCCCCCCCCCCCAAAAAAAAAAGAAAGAAGAATGAAAAGTGGGCTGCTGAGATGGCTCTGTGAGTAAGGGTGCTTGCTGCTAACCCTGAAGACCTGTGTCCTATCCCTGGAACCCACATGGTGAAGGAGAGAACCGACTCCTCTAAGTTGTCCTCTGTCTCCACACAAGCACCATGGCATATGCAAAGCTACATGGTACAGTGTGTGAGAGTGTGTGTGTGAGTGTGCGCATGCGTACACACTAGGTAAGTGTTCTTAAAAGTATGCTGATTATGGTGTTTGCTAAGACTCACTTTTGGAAAGTTCAAGCCTAAGCTACAGAGCAAGACCCTGTCTCAAAATTACCCAACCTCCCCACCCGATCCGCTAAAGAAGTATGCTAGTCATGGAGGTTCAGAGCCACTCCGAAGACTGGGGGTAGTAGAATTCCTGAAGTCCATAAGTTCTAGGTCAGCTGTCATCTCAATAAAAGGAATAACAAGCTGTCAATCTAATTTCCTAAAGTTCAGAGAACATCTCAACTTTTTTCTATTTTTATAAAACTTAAATGTCTATCTTTGAAAACTTCAACCTTCTTTAGTATTCTTGGTCCTTTAATCTTCTTTTAGACCACTCTAAACTAACGTACATGCGTTGGTATTAAATGTTGAATTTTCATGTGCTTTGGGAAATCTTCCATGTGCGCATGCTCATTCATAGAAGCAGGGTCTCCCTTAGCTCATACTTGTTTCAAACCTGCTGTCACTGTGGAGATGAGATGGGCCATGAATTCCGATTCTCCTGCCTCTACTACCAAAGGGCTGGAATACAAGTGTGGGCTGCCATGCTAATCTGGGAAGGATAATTGGATAAAGCCTTTCTAGTTGTGATAGTACTGCTTTTATTAAGTCTGTTTTTTGTCATTTCTAGAAATTCAACATTTTTTTCTCCATTTTCTACGTATGTGACAGTCCCTGTGTAGCCAATCTCTTTTTTTTTTCTTTTTTTCTTTTTCCCCTCAGAGCTGAGGATCGAACCCAGGGCCTTGTGCTTGCTAAGCAAGTGCTCTACCACTGAGCTAAATCCCCAACCCCTCCAGTCTCTTTTCTACATAGCCCCTAGCAAGACTGATCTTTTGTCTTTACAGTTTTGGTTTTTCTAGATACCACATAAACTAGTAAATCTTAGAATCTTGTAGCCTTTCTTTCTAAATTCTTTTTTTTTTCTCCATTGTATAGCCCAGGCTGGCCTCAAACTTGGGATCCTCCTGCCTCTGCCTCTGCCTCCCTAGTGCTAGTCTTGCAAGTGTGAGGCTGCTCATGGACTTCTCACAGTACTTTTGAGATTGCTGCTTTGTTGCATGCTTCAGTATTTTTTTTTTCATGTTGCTGACCACTCTTCTGTATCATGTACTGATGGGTGATTGTGCTCCATTTTTGGAGATTATAAATAAAGACTAAGGTCTGTATGTGTACGTGTTTTGATTTATGCTGGGTAAATTTCTAGGACTGTGGTTTCTAGGATATGTAGTAAGTTGCTCTGATTTAGTATTGTGTACATAGCTAAACATAATGAATCAGTTTCTTCCCCTTAAAAAGGTAGCCCAGGCTGGCGTAAAGCTCACAGAAATCCTGCTTCAAGCCTCCTGTGTATTGGGATTACAGGTGTGAGATCCAACACTCAACTCTAATTTTGATTCTTGTCCCATTACTTTCTTGTTATTGATGTATGCATTAGATCAAATCGATCCTGGTTCTGTAGCTTACCTGCTGTTTAACTGTAGGTTACTTAATCTCATCTTAAACCCTGTGTTCTGCATCTACTGAATTTGTGGCTGCTCATTCCTTTCTTCTCACAGATATATATCTTTCAGTACTAAAAGATGGATCTGTGTGTAATATGTCATTAGTAGTTGATATTTTTTTAAAATTTATTTTATGTTTATGAGTGCTCTATCTGCATGTACACCTTTACCCCAGAGGAGGGCCTCAGATCCTATTATAGATGGTTGTGAGCCATCATGTGGATGAATTGAACTCAGGACCTCTGGAAGAACAGTCCAGTGCTCTTAATCACTGAACCTTCTCTCCAGCCCCCCGTAGTTACTATTATAAAAAGCCAGACATTAATTTTGCATGTCGATGATTAGGCATGGTTAGTCATGGTGTGTGTGTGTGTGTGTGTGTGTGTGTGTGTGTGTGTGTGTGTGTGTGTGTGTGTGTGTATGTGTGTGTGTAGATCAGAGGACAATTTCTAGGAGTTTTTGCTCTCCTTCTACCATTTGGGCTCCAGGGACTGAATTCAGTTCATCTGTCTTGGTGGCAGGTGTCTTTACCATTTTAGATAGCTCATTAGTACAGTGCTCTGTCTCCTCCTCCTCCTCTCTTCTTTTCTTTTCTTCTTCTCCTCCTGCTCTTCTTCTCTTCCTCCTCTTTGTCTTCCTTCCTCTTTCCTCCTCCTTTCTTCTGAGACAAGGTCTCTGTAGTCCCAGATGGCCTTGAACTCAGAGATCAGCCTGCCTCTTCCTCTTTGAGTGCTGGGATTAAAGATGTGCACCACCATCGTTTTTTTCTTCTTAATAACTGTATCATGAAAAGAAAAAAAAAAAAACAGTTGATCAGCTAGTCAGAGAGAACTTTGGATGCCCCAAAATATCATTGTGCACAGGATCTCATTTGGGTCAAGATTAGCAGACTATGGGATTTAAAAAAATCTTTAGATTTAAAAGATCTTTAGATCTTTACTTGAACCTTTTGCAGATAGTTGTCCTTTTTAGAATGTTTGCTTGTTTCTTTGATACAGGGTATCCTCCTTAGTGCTGAGATTATGAGCATGTACTACTATCATGCTTGGCCCTTGGTGTAGATGTATTCTGTCATTTTTTTAGAAGGCATGATAGTGAATGGTTAATTTCTTTTCAGTTTGGTTTCCCCCTGTTGATTTGCTAAGGACAGAATGTAAAGCTTTGTGTGTGGTACCATGGGTTATTTTTCTTTATAGGGAATAAACTCCACAGGATCTGTAACTGAATTCAGTCCCTGGAGCCCAAATGGTAGAAGGAGAGCAAAAACTCCTAGAAATTGTCCTCTGATCTACACCCCCCCCACACACACACACACATACACACACACACACACACACACACACACACACACCATGGCTAACCATGCCTAATCATCTACATGCAAAATTAATGTCTTGCTAAAGTGAGCTATATCTTCAGCCTCCTTTATCCACTTATTTTTTGACAGCCGAAGTTGGGAAGTACTGGGTTTCATATAGCCCAGCCTAGCCTCAAGCTCACTATATGACCTAGAATGACTTTGGGAACTTCATCTATCTCCATTTATTATCTACCCCCACTTCCTGAGTTTTGTTTTTGTTTTTTGTTTGTGAGACTGGGTCTTAATCTATGATATTAGCTCTGGCTGGCCCAGAGCTTGCTCTGTAGACTGAGCTGGCCTCAAACTTGGCACAATCCTCCTGCTTCTGCCACCTGATCACTGGGATTACAGGCATGGGCCAACATGCCTGACAAATTGGGTTCTATTCCTAACACTAATTCATGGTTATTTTTAGACATAGTAACTGTATTACAGTCTACTAACTTGAAGCTTTGTAATTTTTAGACTAGAAATATAAGGCATACAGCAAAGACCTTTTGAATGTCACTTTTATAGCTTAAATTGTCTGTTGTCAGGCACTGAAGGATAGCACAGAAGTAGAAATTGTGGATGAAAAAATGAGGAAAAAGATTGAACCAGAAAAATGGCCAATCCCAGGCCCTCCTCCTCGAAATGTGCCACAAACAGACTTCTCTCAGTTGATTGATTGTCCGGAGTTCATACCAGGCCAGGCCTTTGGCTCCCATACAGGTAACTGCTTTTCTTCTAGTGCAAACAGTGTAACAGAGGGCTGTTTGATGAGCTTGCCTATCTATTTGTAGTTTATTGAGCTTTCATAGGAAAACTAAAGCTAATTAAAAGACTGCTGGTCTTCCCAATCCTGCTTATTTTATCTCCCAGCTAGACTAGAATTATGCAGAATCATAGGTAAAGCTCTATTAATGTTTCTTGAGCTTAGAATTTGTGTGTGTTGTCTTTTGTGGGCTTTCTTCCTATCTTTTAATTCTACTAAACGACTATATATAGTGCCACTTTTCTCCACGTAAAACCAAAAGAGCCAAAATTTGTGCTCAAGAGTGGGCTGGCCTTCCTTTACTCTTGTTAGTAATGTACTTTAATCTTGCCTTGAAAACATAAACAAATGCATATTCTAAAATAGAGTTGGGATTTTCTTTAGCCTTGCTTCTTTTGAGTTTCCAAAAACTTCATTAGTGTTAAGAATTTTTTACCTGGTTCATTTTGAAGATAATTGCTCTTGGGAAAAATATGTGTGCTTAACCTTTTTTCAGTCAGGGTGATGATCTACTGATGCTCTTGGATGTCATATGATCGGAATGTACAGTGGAGTAGGTGACTCCCTGAAATACCATGTAAATATGAGAGCAAATCGTGCTGCAGAAATGAAAGTGACCATACTGTCTTCTGTGGAAGAATGTCTACGCCCACCCCCTTGTGGAGAAGGTTGGGCCAGCCTGCAGTGGAGATAACCACCTTTACGATAATGATGTGAGACAGACCAGAGGACTGCTGTTGTTACTGTAGGAGCTTCTCCTTTCTATGTCATTAGCTTAGGCTGCACGGGCTACTTCATGGTGGGAAAGTTAATTGTTATCATTGGGGAAATACTGCAAATTCTATCTTTTGTTTCCAGGCATTTATACTTTGCCCAGATCAATAAAGCAGAAAAAGAGAGGATTGAGTAGCATTTCCAAAATTGTTAGGTCCTTTGCTATTTGACTTGCTCTTTAATATAGTATACTTTGCATAACTCACATGTTGTCATATTTCACATGTACTATAAGATGTATTAATGTGAATACTTAAGGGGTAAGAAATTTAAGTTAAATAAATAAGGGCATTTTTCCTTTATGCTTCAAAATTGTTATTTAAGGGATTTTCTTTTTGTTGTTTTATTTATTATTATTGTGTATATATGATATGTGTGTTTGAGTGTGGGCACATGTGTGCCATGGTGTGTGTGTGGAGGTAAGAGGACAACTTTGGAGAGTTGGTTCTTTATTTCCACCGTGGGGATTCAGGTCTTAAACTCAGGTGGTCATATTTGCACAGCAAGTGGCCTTACTTCTGAGCCATGTGGCTGGCTTCAAAATTGTATTTCATACATTGGCATGAAAGCACTGCCTGCCTATGCCCCTCATCATGAACCAGGATAAATCCTTTTTGTCAGAAATTTGGTCACAGCAATGAGAAAAGTAACTAATAAAGAAGGTTGGTAACAAGGAGTAGAGCTGTTACTATGAAAATCCTGACCATGTGGTTTGTAGGCATTTGGAACTGGTTTTTAGAAGGAATGTGAAAGACTTCTAAGCTGTAGGTTACAGAAACCTTAGGATGCTGTAAGTAGAGCTCAGTGGGCCATTCTGACTGGCTTAGTATGTCAGTGAAAAAGTAGAAAGAAAATGAACATTGTGCTAAGGAGTTTCCAGAGAGGGGCAAGGACTTTGCGGGGAGCTGAGCTAAAGGCTGTTTGTGTTTACTTCTGATGAAGAATCTCAGTGTATTCTGTCTGTTCCTGAAAACGTAGGTCACAGAATGATTTAAAATTTGTTTGGCAGAGGCAATTTTTAAGACAGCATTACATTTTGGCTGAGGCATGATTACTACTCACTGCTCTTATTCAGATCTTTAGCAGGAGTAAGTGGAAAGATTGGAAAATGTGCAGTTTGGGGAAGAAAGGGGTGCGCCATCTAAAGTTGCCAGCAAACAGGGTGCACACAAAGCTTTTGTAATTGTTAGTGCCAAAAAGAAATATCTTAGTCTTCACTAAGACAACTCCTGTGCCCCAAGGGCAAAACCTATGTAAGTCTCTAACTTGTGAAAATGGAAATTGATTTGAAAGAAGAGAGACTAAACTGAGACTGTGGCTGATGGGATTCCTCCTGTGTAAACAGACTCCTAGGAGAAATGTCTCCCAGGTTTGATAGCCAAGTTGTACAAAGGTCATTTACAGCATTGTTAGGAGGGGTCCAGACAACACCTCAATCTGGCAGTAGAACTTGAATGCTTCATCCACTTTATGCTAGTTTAGTAGGCATGTAAAATGCAAGTTACGGTCATGGAGGTTTAGACTGGAAGCCACTATGTGGCAAAGGAGACGCCATTGTTTAAAGCTGTGAAGTCAATTTACAAAGTAGACTTCCAGACTGTTGGAAGCTCCAGAATTGTGGGGCATCTGCCAAGGAAAACTGGAGGAATAGAGCCGTCCCATGAGAGAGGCTGTATATGCTGCAAGTGACAAAATTGGAGGAGTGGAGCTGCCCATGGTCATTGGAGCCCAGATGATAGTACCACAAGCCCCAGATGCTGGACATGGAGCTTCAAGGTTTAGTGTTTGCCTGCTAGATTTAGGTCTTGCTTTGATCCAGTCTTGCCTTGCTATACCCCATTCCCCTCTATTGGAATGGGGATGTTTACTCTGTGCCATTGTATACTGGAAGTATGTAACTTTTTTTCTGAAATTATAGAGACTCACAGTTAAAGAATTTGCCTTGCATCTCAGAAGAAAGAGACTTTGGACTTTTGAACACTGTTGGGACAGTTAAAGACTATGGAGACTTTTGAAGTGAGACTGAATTCATTTTGCTTTATGAGCTTATGGGGTTCAGAGATGAAATGTAATGGTTTAAAAGTGATTTGTTTGAGATTCAAGGTGACAAGGAGTGTACTTGTGGTTATTAACTTTCATTGACAGCTTGACTGGACATGTCTGTGAGGGCATTTCCAGAGAGGTTTAGCTGAAGAGGGAAGACTATCCTACACATGGGCTGGGTACTTAGCCTGAGCACCAGCATTCATTATCTGTGCTTCCTGACTGCAGACGCAGTGTGACCAGCCACCTCATGTTCCCATCACCATGCCTTCCCTGCCATCATGGACTCTACCCCTCAAACTGTGAGCTAAAATAAATTCTTCTTCCCTTAAGTTGCTTCTTGTCAGATGTTTTGTTGCAGTGACAAGAAAGGTAGCTAACGTACTTACTGCCTATCAGTGATGAGTGAGGGATCACTTCAGATATTTCTGTTTGAAAGTAAAATACTTCCTTTGTGCCTTTTCAACACTATATGGCCTAACTCTGTTAAAAGATTTTTAAATTATAATTGCAAATAATGCACAGAATTTACGCGTTACACAGAACTTGTTTATGTACAATCTGAAAGTTTCAGATGTTTTGTGCCCCATACCAGATCTTTTATAGCCATAATTTTTTCTCTCTGCAATAACTAGGGTATGTTTTTAAAGAAGTGAAATTTAGGTTTCTGTTCTTAAAGATTCAACAAATAACTGTGAAAAATTTGTTGTATAAACTTGAGGTCCTTTTTAACCAGCTTATGAACAATTAGTTGAGAAGTTGGGAAGTTGGGTAATATAGAAAATACTTTCTTTCTTTCTTCTTCTTTTTTTTTTTCAAGACAGGGTTTCTCTGTGTAGTTTTTGTGCCTGTTTGGATCTCACTCTGTAGACCAAGCTGGCCTCGAACTCACAGAGATCCACCTGGCTCTGCCTCCCGAGTGCTGGGATTAAAGATGTGTGCCACCACCACCCAGCAAAAATATTTTTTTTCTATGAGACATCTAAGATAGGTCAATCAAGTTGGATATAGCTTTCCATTAGCCATTTTTGAATTATTAATAAAATTGCAAGAATAAAATCAGTTTTGTACATTTTACTTTTTGACACATTTTCATGTTCACACAAATAAGTCAATATAAGTGTCACATTAATATAGATTCTTTAAATTATACAAAGAGCAAATAGATGATAAATAAAGAAATAGTTATATGGGATGTTGATAGAATCATGCTGACTTACATTAGCTCATAGGAGTACTGCTGTCAACCACCATTTCCTCTGAATCTTCATATTTTACCTTGTTAGTCTACTTGTAGACTGCTTGGAGAAGTAGTATGTCACTGTACATTGGAGAAGAAATAAGGTAGGAAGTATAGACAGCCTTCTTATGTAACTAGGTGAAGTAAAGGAGAGAAGCTTTTATCTAATACCCTTTAGTCCCAAATTATAATATCTTAATAACTTTTGATTATATTTTCTGTGCCATTTGTATGGTAAAATATTTTAATGTAATTGATCCTTTTCATCACAGAAATTTAAATATCTACTTTTTCCTCTTTGGAGGTTGAATTGTGTAACATGGTTTGGCATTGCCACTGAGCAGAAGATCTTAATCACCACAAAAGGTTGATTATGAGACTGGTAAGATGACTTCTGGAATGCAGGGTTTGCTGTGGGTGTGGTGTATTGTCAGCTCTTGATGTGTGAAAGGGCCTAATGGTTACTGAATGGGCTGTGGGACTTCTTTTGAAAGCTATATGTTGAGGTTCTTAAAGAAATCCTTATTACTCAGAACTGCAGTCATCTCATAGTGAGGGGAAAAAAACCACACTAGATCAAAGCATATGTTTGTCTTTGGAGAGCCAGACTGACATTTTTCATTTAATACAGAATCAGCAGAGGTAAATTGTCTATAGTCTCACAAATTGTAACCAAGGTATTATATGTCTAAATAATGTAATGTCAGAAATTCCAAATATTACTTAAACTTTCTGTTTTAGCGTTTTAAAAATAAGTACTTTGAAATATTTTAATTATAAAAGAAATTAGGAGTCCAGAAAACATGACAGGGCATATGGGTAAGCTTAAGCATAAAGTAAACAACTTCAAAGTATCATTCTAATAGTGTTAATTTTTTTCTTTGCCAAATATTTTCCTATTATTCCATTTCTAAGCACATAAATGTTTAGTATAATAGAACACTTAATGGTGCACCCCATAATTCAAGCTTAGAAGACATGAGGAGATGATTGTATAATATAAACCATGAGGTAGGTATAAGAAGACTAACCTTGTGTATTAAAACAGTAACTACTGGGGCTGGAGAAGGTGGCTAGAACACTCACTCATGTAGGGCAGCTCACAGCTGCTTCTTAACTCCAGCTCCATGGGATCCAGCACCCTCTTCTGGCCTCCTCAGGTACCCACACACAGGTGGCATCCAGCCCCTCCCAGATAAAAATAAACATAATAAAGAACTACAGTTTTGATTTTCCTACTATGGCTGTAGTTGCTGTTCTGACATTTAGACTTTAAGTATGTGTAGTTCAGTTAAATTTAATGATAGTTGTATAGGAACTAAGTCATCCCCATGGTTAACAATATAGTGCTTCTTTGTGTTTTAAAACTTTGGTCATTGTATAAATATTTCAGAGTATTAGAAAAACAGTTCTCTGGAGTTAGTGTGTTTTCCTATACTCCTCTATCAGTGTGAAAGGGTATAATCTCTTTCTTTCATTTGTATTGATTTTATGAATGAGTTGATGATAAATGTATTGTTTATGGAGAATGTTGTGGAGCAACAGTGTCCCAGGAAGGATATGCGAACCCTACATATAATTTCAAAGTTTTTAGTAACTTTGAAATATATTTGCCAGGTGTGGTGACATACACCTTTAATCCTAAACCCAGGAGACAGAGGGAGGCAGATTTCTGTGATTTTCAGGCCAGCCTGGTTTACCTAGCAAGTTCTAGGCCAGCAGGGCTGCATAGTGAGACTGTCTAAAGAACAGAACAGAACAAAAACAATAACTACAAAACATTTAATTTCAGTAATATTGCCATAGATATTTTTATTTAACATAGCCACATTATTAACACACCTAATATAAATCCTTGCTCATTTAGAACAGAAGGTATCAGGTCATTTTTAGTATGCACTTTATAACTGTCTTTAACATATTTGAGAACTAGCCTCATTCCAAGTTTTTTGCCCCTTATAACTAGAGCGTATTATATTGAACAAACTCTTTTCTTCTTTTCTTGTGGTTCTGGTATCAAATCCAAAGGCTTCCCATTATCCATACACTTGCATGGATACTATATTGATTGGGATATTCTGGAGGCTTTCCTAGTCTCCATCAAATTGCTTCTTTAAAAACAATAGTGACCTGATGATTACATCCATGTGTCAACTGTAGCATGTTCATGGAAATAAATCTTGCAATCTTTATCACACATATTCCTGCCTTGTGCCTTTGATTTAGTAATTAAAAGACTCACTGTCCATCTGTTTCAGCTTTCATATAACATTCACCCTGGAAGTGTTTTTAGTGAATTAACTTTGAGTAATGATATTTATAGTTTAAACTTGTACAATACACTATATACTTGTAAAAATAAATTTTATGTGTATTCAAGGTTTAAAACAGGTTCTCTTCTGACCTGGAAATGAAATTGTAACTTAAAAACACTTAATTTTTAAACGTTTGAAAAACAATTTGGATTTTATAGAGTTTATATTTATTTTGATTAAAAAGCTGACAAGGTAAGGTAAAGAAAGGTTTTACTTTTTAGAAAAGCTTTATTATTTTTATTTTTGTGTATATTTGCTTGCATGTATGCATGTATACCATGTGTGTACCTGGCATCTGTGGAGATCAGAAGAGGGGGTCAAATACTCAAACTGGAGTTACAGATTGTTGTGAGCTGCCATGTCGATACTAAGACCTGAAAAGAACAGCCTGTGCTCTTGCCCATTGAACCATTTCTCCATCCCCAAGAAAGGCCCTTAAATTCTCAAGGTTTTAAATGCTATTGCTGGAGCTATATGCTTTACTGTGGTGACATGTGTTTTGCAGTGTTCTGCATGAGGTATGAAGTAAGTGGGCACGCTGTCTTTCATGTAGGAAATGTGGGCATGGGAGTAATGACTGCTGTAGTTTAGATCTTTGTCAATCTGTCAGGAAGTAATTTTGCCTTGACTGTCATATGTTTAGACTACCTATGGTTTAATAGCAGTTGACATTCTATAGTTCAATGTGCAGGTTTTAAATTGGTGACTCAAAGATACTCTTGAAGATATCATGAATATAATATTCTGCATAAGTGCTGGTGACATTCCTTCATTCAGTGGCTTTCCTTTTGAATATCTTGCAAGCCTTTGAAAATCATGAAAAGGTTTTGAAATTGATTATCATGTTTTTGTGCAGGAAAATCCATATTAAGGCAAAATGAAATGCAGTTAATAGGTAAGAAGAACCAGTATTTTAATTGCAGAACTGATTTAAAATTTTAGAGTCTGCCCCAAACTCTCCAAGAACTGGAAGTCCACTGAGCCCAAAGAAAAATACCGAAACAAATTCTCTCCGAGTGATGTCTAGAGGTTTGTCTACCAGCTTACCTGACCTGGACTCAGAACCATGGGTAGATGTGAAAGAGAGGCATCACCCATCCCCAGGGACGTTAAAGGTAAGTTTACAAACCCAATGAAATGTGTACCTCGAGTGTAACAAGTTTTCTGTTTGTCATACATGGGTTTTTCAAGGTTTTATAAAAATTTGGAATTGTGGCCTTCAAGAGAAACTTGGGTTACTTTTGTGAAAAGTAAATTATATTTTTCTCTTTTTAAATATTTATCTTTCATTTTTAACATAATTTGAGAGTGCTTTAACTTAGTCTTTTTATTTATGACTAATTTTTTCTTATGTGACTAGTTTAAATTTGAATGATACTTCAATTTTTGTGAAGTTGAAGAATGTTCAGATATTGAAGTTATATCATTATTTGTAAGGCTCTTAAAGCACATTGCATGCTTCAGCATGTTAGAGTGAATCAATGTAAAAAAAAAAAAAAAAGCAAAAAGCAAATGGATTTCTTAGTGAATGAGTGAACTATCTATCAGAATCAGATGGTTATAAAAGGACCAGAGGAAACTGCCTTGCATTTTTGACTGGTGACTGATGCACTACTTACTATAAAAAGTTGTTACTTTAACTAAATAACTAATTAGTACAAGTAAAAGTTGGAAAACCTAAGTAAAATTGTTGGCTTATGTGGGTGTAGGTAATTTATCTTGTGGTAGTTGCACTGGTTTTATGGACTAGTGGGTAAGGGATGGGTGACACGATCCACTATTTCTTACAACTTTGTGAATGTATAAAAAGCTTGCCAAAGTTTGGAAGAAGAGAATGAATGCTGGGATGTTAAAGGCTTATAAACAAAGTTCTTTCTCCTGGAGACCAGAGGTACAGAGGAAGCTGGGATTTTAACGACTCTTCACTGTAAATCTGCCCATGTCAGCAAACACTTTTTTTGTTGTAACTGGAAGGGTGTTGTAAGCTGGGAGGGTGTCTAATGAAAGCCTAAAGTCCTGTTGCTGACCCACAGTGCTAAGGGCCCCACATGTTTAAAATATTACCAAGTCCAATGTCAATAGGCTTAAGAAACCTTAATAAAAGGTAACTTCTTTTTCTTTTTCTTTTTCTTTTTCTTTTTCTTTTTTTTTTTTTTTTTTTTTT